ACATAAGATTAAATATCTCCCGCAAGTACAGTACACATTTTAATGATTCCCATGAAAGGATAACTCCAATTAAATGCAGCCACAAAACACAAGACCCGTCAGCACTTTTCCCCACCCCCATTAAAGTTAACTCTTGGTCATAACTGTACCGACTTTGTGCCTTTCGCCTCGTTCATAAGCTGGCAGCTGTCAGTGGATCGAAGGCATGCCGAAACTTAGGCTGAAGTTGCCACTTAGCCCCTCGTTGCCCCCGACTGCCAACTACCCATCTGTTTGGACAGATATTGCCCATCGGCCATAAGGAGCAGCCACCCCTTAAATGGGACACGCCCAGGCAATTGCGTGGGTCAGGTAAACTGCAATTGGCAGGCGGACGGGCTATGGAAGCTACAATAGCTATAGTTGCTATAAGAGCTGCTATACACAGGAGCAGCTGATACAACAAACCCGAGCCAAGAGCAATAACTGTGTAACATTGCGCATACGCCATGCGTGACAACGCCGAACGATGCTGCTGCTGCTTTTGGTGCTTGGCAAATTGACACATGGAAACTTAAATTCTGTTAACTGGCTGACTGGCTGTGTAATGGAATTACACTGGGTGGCATTTTTTGCACTAAATTTTGATTTAGCGCTTACTTAGAAAGATAAAATCGGCTTCCTTTAAAGTAAAGGAAATTATAGAAGGGAAAATAAAATATTTAAATATTTTTATAATAAAACAATTTGGCTTTAAATGTAAGTAGATACTAGAAATCATAATTTCTACTAAAGCGTTATGATATGATATGAAGCGATGATCGATTTCTTGTTATGTGGGAACATTTTTGACTTGATATGCGGGCCCCTCAATTTGAAATGCTCGCAATCAGAAAATCTCTGAGAAAGAGATTTTCAGTAAAAACGATATGCGTATGCAATAACAGAAATTTGCCATGCACATATCATTTTGACCACGACGAGTATTTTTTTGCGCAAATATTTTTCTGATTTTTTTTATTGATAGTTTGATTTGCAATCTTTCGCGGGTAATTGATCTATTTTCTTTTTAAAATTGGTCCACCAGAATAAATAACTCAATAATGTCACTCTACTTTTTATGGTCTCCATAAATTAAAAAAAATCTAGTGCCTTTAAACGTCAGTTGACCTATCGTAGTTCAGCCAAACATAATTTACAAGCTCTGCAACGTCAACCGGCAATTTTGTTGCATAGTGTTATTACACTCTTTTACGGCCATAGTGCCGGAGAGTTGAGATTATTCCATAAGGGGACAGCAACAACAAAAGCCGAGCGAAAGAATATTTCTTGGTGTCACGTGCAGCGCTTAGCAAAATGCTGTACGAGTTTGGGGCTTCTGGATTTTGGCTTTTGGACAATGTCAGGCGGAAACAACATTGTATGTGGCCAGAAGCTTAACGCGTCATTTAACTCTGGTTGCCCATGTATACACTTATTATTTTTCCTCTTTTTTTTCGTATGTTGGCCAGAGAAGAAGAGTCAGAAATGGCGAGACCCATGGGGAGCAGTGTGCTGCGTGCTGACTTCATATTTATGACATTTATGCAACATTCATTATGTGTGCAGCACACGACAGAACGACCAGCCCACCTCCTTGATTTTTCAAAATTAATATATGTGCCTGTGCAAACCACAGTCAATTTTGTGGTCGTCTGTTGAGAGTGTTTATGAACATATCCTGTGCTTTTAAAAATGTGCAAAGCCTCTTTATTTTCTATGGTAAAGCAGAACACTTTATTTAGCATACTTTTTGGGGTAACTTTGAATATAAGCTTAAAAACAAGCGCTTGGGTTTTTTAAATTTGGTAGATAAAACACATAAATAAATTCCATTTTTAATTAGATTTTTAATAGTCTTTAAAAGAATCGTCGTTTAAATAAAAAATTCCTTTGAAGTAAAAAATAATCTAAGTAAAATTACAAACAGAAAATCGTTTTTCCAATCCGTCAGATTTTTTTATAACAAAGAAAGAGTCCACAAAAAAGTTAAAGTCAATCCCTATCACATTCCGTTCGCAAATTGAATAAATAATTCAAGAAACATTTCAACAAAAAGTTCGGATCGCCAATCCTTTTGCAGGCCACCAATCACGTATAATCGTAAACCGAAAAAGCATTAAAAATAATAAAGTATTCAAATGGTAATCAATTGCCATATAAAACGAGAAGGAAAGCGGGACTAAACTAAAATCGACAACAAAATAAAGGGGAAAACAAACGCTTTCAATGCCACAACAAAGTACAAAAGTTGTCCTTTTTATGCCACATAAAAGCCAACTTTAAGTGCGAGTGTTAAGGAATCTCCCGAGGCGAAAAGAGGAAAGAACCCGAGTCGAGAAACCGGCTAAAGGCCAGGCCAACCCTTTGGCTCATTTGACCTTTTCAATCTGAGAGCACAACACGCACAATAAACCGAAACACTTTTCGCACAGAATTATATGCGGTGAACTGATTTTCTGGGGGATTTTGTCAGTAGAGGAGAAAGGGGAAAGGGGAGACTTATTGGATCCCTCGGCCTGTCAATTAGTGGTGCCGAGCACATAAATTCCAATTGTTTTGACATTAACCGAAACATAATGAATCACACGAAATTAACTTGTCTCGCGCGTGCCCACGGTGCGTATGTGTAATGCCCGCCAGGTTCTTTCACCTTTACGCTGGCCAAGGTGACAAGATTAGGGCTTTAATAAAACTCCCACCTCTTCATAAATTATTTAATATTTTTCTGCAGTCATACTTAACTTACTAACAATATTTTCGAGTTTATTTTTTATGCTTTTCCTCAAAAACTTTCCTACAAAAATAGATAGAAAAAAAATAAACGGAAGAACGAAAACTCCGCCCGAACTATAATAGAAAAATATGTCAAGTGTCAGGACAGAAGTTTGCCGCAAAGAATATTTCCTTTGGCAGAAAATTAAATTAAACTTTTTTTGCTCAGCCAAAACAGATTTGATATTTTTGAATGCTTAACTTATTTGCGGCAGCCATAAAACAAAAGCCAAAGAGCCAACGTTTTTGTTTGCGGTAGGGATTTAGGCCACAATTGCGAGCCGTGGGAAATGGCGTTGGAAAATGAAAATTGTTTTTCCAAAAATTTGTTGCGCTCCCACGTGCAGAGCCTAATAAAACCAATTTGCCTCGGCCAGAAAAGAGAGATGTATACAAAAATAAGCCTGCAGATTCGGCTTCACAAAAAAATAAAACAAACTGTATGAAATATGTTGAGTTCTGGCACAAGCAGAAACAATAAATTCAATTAACTTGCTCCTCTCTTTGTTCGGGGTTTTTTTTGGGTGGGTTTGTAGGGGAAACAACGTCAAGCCCTTTTCCTTTTCATTCTTTTACAACCCCCAAATAAAACTGAAAGCTTCCTTAACGCCTTTTTATGAACAGCGAAAATATTGCGAGGGAAAATGTAAACAATAAACAACATGAAAGCAAATTAATTTGCTTAATTGTCAGATAACATTTTCGTGATATTTTTATTCTTTATTATTTGCTTTTTAATTTGGTTTTAGGCTTTTGTTTGTTTTTTTTTATAAATTAAATTGAATACTTTTTTGTTAAACTCACAACATAGTCATAAGAAAAAATATAATTTTATTGTATTTCTTTACTAATTAAAATGCCATATCTGGGCAAACAATTAAATTTTTAAAAAATGAAACAAAGCCACCTTTCAATCAATGATTGGTAAGCTCTAATACACTCATTCAATATTGCAACAAAAAAGAAATGAGTTTTGCAAATAAATCCTACTCACAAATAAATTAATTTTATATATAGATATTAATAGGTTGTTATACCCTTGCAGAGGGTATTATGATTTCAGTCAGAAGTTTGCAACGCAGTGAAGGAGACGTGTCCGACCCCATAAAGTATATATATTCTTGATCAGCATCACTAGACGAGTCGATCTAGCCATGTCCGTTTGTCCGTCTGTCCGCCTGTCCGTCCGTCTGTCCGTCTGTCCGTCTGTCTGTTTCTACGCAAACTAGTCTCTCAGTTTTTGAGCTATCGGGATGAAACTTTCCCAAAAGTCTTCTTTCTATTGCAGGTAGTATATATGTCGGAACCAACCGGATCGGACAACTATATCTTATAGCTCCCATAGGAAGGATCGGAAAAGAAAACGTTAAAAAAATTCTAGCTTCGGTGTTTTTTGAAATATTACCTTCTACTTTTGGGGATGTTATTTTTTAAATATTTCTGAATTTCGAATTAAATATTTAAAAAATCGGACTACTATATCATATAGCTGCCATAGGAACGATCGGTGAATTAATGGAAAAGTAATAGGAAATAAATTCTAGCTTCTTTGGTTTTTATTGTATTATCTTCTACTCTAGGATATGACTCTTTTTAAATATTTCCGAATTTCAATTTTAGTTTGATCAAAATCGGACGACTATATCATATAGCTGCCATAGGAACGATCGGAAAATTAATGAGAAATATTAGAAAATTGAACATTTTTGCGATTTGTTAATTAATAGGAATGATCTGCAAGGGTATATAAGCTTCGGCTGGCCGAAGCTAGCTTCCTTTCTTGTTTTGTATTTAATTATACAAATTAAAGATTTTTTTCATGAAAACATTCAATTTGAATTAGAAAAACCAATTATAGAATTTATATTTAATAATGAACAGTTTGTGGTTAGCAAAACTATTTATCAAGAATTTAATGAGGATCCAAGTTGTGAAATATATAAAAAAATATTTAATAAATTCCGTTCAACTCAACTAAGCCTGCTGAATCATTGCAGAGAATAAACAAAAAAAATAAATAAATGAATTAAATCGTTGGTAAGCAAATCCGCTTATACAGTGCAAACATAAGCAGTTTGTTTGTGCAGTGTTTTTTGTTAAATGTACAAATATTTTATCTAGCTTTAAGCTCTTGATATAACAATTCTTTTTTTAACTTTTTACAATTCAAACATATGACAAACATATTTTTCATTTTCCCTTTGCAGAAGCCTGTCATCCGTACGAGCCCTTCAAGTGTCCCGGAGATGGTAATTGCATTTCCATCCAATATTTATGCGATGGTGCACCCGATTGCTCTGACGGATATGATGAGGACATGCGTCTGTGTACGGCGGGTAAGTCATGTTGCCAACCCAGAGATTGCCATTTGAACTTTGGCTTCTAATTGAATGCCCAACGTTTGCCATTAATAATTCGTTTTAGCAGGCTTCATTGAAGCTTCCAAATACGCAAAGGGAATTTCACAAAGAAGAACTCTGCCTAAATAAGGTTAAAAATGGGAAATGATTAGGAAATGAGCAACCAAACCTGAAACATACTGCAGAAAGAGTGTCGTGTCAGGGCCAGAAATGAATTTTCTAGCCAAAAGCGAGACGAAAACTTTGACTTGGCCGTGTTGCATTCTAGCATATTTTGCGGCGCTCGCTTCTCACTGCCACCTAATCAAATTAGTCCAAGCTGCAGCAAAGTTTTCTTACAAAATCTCCGAAAACTTTATCCGCTTGTTCGTTGTCCATAAACTGAGTTTTTTTGGGCCAAGTTTCAAGTGCAAGGGAAATGAGCTTCTCGTCAAAATGGCTAACGAAGGTTGTCCCACGAATCTTGTTAAAGTTTTCTGATTTATGAGTTTGAAGTGGCTTTTAAATATGAATAATGTTGTATCATACTATTTTGGCCTTTATAATAGTTATATTATTTTTTCGTGCCTACTAAAAGGTACCCACCATTTTCAATTTTAGTCTATATTTATAGAATGACTCACGCTCTTGCTAATTAAAATCCGGTCCTCATTTTATGCCTTGCCATATCAATTACATTTGCCTTTTGACGGAAAATTGATTGCAATCACCAAAGTAATTGCCTCAAATTGAAAAGCAATTAAAAGAAGAAAAAATTAATTGTGTTTCCATAATCGATAAAGGATACTTTACATAGATACATATATATAATATAAAGTGAATTAAAAAGATCGAAAAAGAAGGAAGAGTAATGGCTGTGAAAGTTTTTTAAAGTTCTCCTAATTATGTCATGGATGGGAAAATTCGCGTGATAAATTATAAAATTCGTTACCCAGACCGACACACAGGCAAACAAAGGCCGCACAAATTGGGCGGAAAACTTTACTTTACGGGGGCGGCGGAGAGATTTCCACCCGCTGAGCCAACCGAACAACGGGAAATGCGAAACTTGAGGCCAAACAGCAAATTGTTGCTGCTAATTGCTACCAATTCAGTTGCCTGAAAGTTGAGATACAAGCCAACAGACCAGAGCACCTCCCACCCAATTTCCCTCCCCCAATTTTCCTTCTCTTTATCTTATTCTCCGCCAGTTCCAGGCACAATAGCATAAATTTCCCTGGTTTTCCGCCATTGTTTCGGGGGGTTGGAACGGAGAAAAAAAACTATTTTTCGACAATGAAATCATTAAGGAAGTGTCGGCTGCTTTGGCGCTGGCCTAAGTTATTGCTTCAACCTCGGCGGTCTTTGATAAATTATTCGCCCAGTTTCTCGTTATTATCCTCACTTTCTCCTCCTTTAGCCGGCAACTCCTCTTTTATTCGGCAGCCAGGCAACAGTTGAAAGACAAAACGAACCCTTAAGGCCAAGTTTTTGCTTGGACCATCACTTGTTTAATTACTAAGTTGGGCTTATAGTCTCAATATTGAGGCTGACAAAATCGTACCTAATGGGTTCATTATCGAGAATATAATCTACCAAATCATCTTAGAATTAAATACAAACTTTAAACGGCTTTAAAAGCGCAATAAAAAATATATGTTCCTAATACTTAAACGCTCTAAATTAAAGTCAAGGTTCCACGTCCATAAAGGAAATTTTTAATCTCCTTTTTGATAATAGGTTTTTTCCATATATGCAAATAAGGTAAAAATATTGTATTAAAGTTGCTCATGTTCTTATACTGAACCATCATTTGCTGGCAAATAAAAAGGGAACACAAATAAAGAACAACGAGTTAAATTGCAACAAAAAGTATTCGAAAAAGTTTTAACACGCTGCATTCGAATACCCTTGGGAAATTAGCATAATTTTGCATACATTTTATCAGCCAAAAGCAGTAGAGAAAGTTTAAAAAATGTTAACCCATGCTGGCAGGGAATTCGGGGGCAGAATTGCCACGTAGACTTAATCTAAACTGCTGATATACATCGTCCGGAATATGTAACAAGTTAAAGGCAAACAACAGGCGACAATCCAAACTCCCACAGCCACCCATCCCCACCCACCAATTGAGTTCGGTCCCCCGAGCAAAGAACACAATACATGGAGGCACCGAAGCTCATGTAGACGACTCAACGGAAGAGTAAAGAAGAGGGTTAACCCGCAGATTCGATTTTAAAATACCCAATAATTTGATTAGGAGAAAATATCACCGCAATAAATTACAGTGTTTTGGAAATTATTATTTTAATTTTGTTAATAAAACTGTGCTCAATAGTTTTATTTAAACATTAAAACCCTGCACTTAATAAAAAATTTAAAATCTACTTATTTTATTAAAATAATAAATCAAATGAGACTTATTTGTCATTTTTTTTTAATAGTTTAACTCCTATTCACAATCTCTGAAGGAGAGGCTTAAAAAGAAGCTAAGGTACTAATTAATTTTGTTCGTGGGTTTCCTAGGAAAAATGTCTGTAATTTAAATTATGAGTTTTATCGAAAAGGGGTAAATGGTATTATACTAAATACCTGGAACTAAATTTATTTTAGTTTTTTTAAAGCTCCAGCCACGAAATGAGTTCTTGCTTAGCTATAATTAATAGAAAAAACTTTGAAAAGGGGTATTTTCATTAGGAACCACATGCGCAGCTAATTGTGCACATTAATCTTGATGTCATTAAAACAAAAACGCACAGTCACCCCATAACTAAAGGGTAAGAAAAGTACAAAAAAAATGTGGGAAGGGGAAAATGGTTTGCAAACGTCGCCATTTGCATAACAAATACAGTCAGTAACTGTATCAACACACACACATCGAAAAGAAGGAGAAAAAGAGACCCATCTAGATACATACGTGTCCTTGCAGCCATTAAAAATGCCAGCATATGTGAGTGAGCGGGTTAAGGGAAGGATGGTGGTGCACCCGTGGGTTAACAAGTGCAGTCAGTGGGTTAAAAAAGCGACGCCAAGCACCGTAAAGTCTACCCTTTGTGCATGACTGACTCTGCGGACTGGGTGACTGACTACCTGAGTGACTGACTGACTGACTGACTGAATGACTGACTTATTCACTGACTTACTCACTGACTGACCCATAAATGTTTGTTGGAGCCAAAGAAAAACACAAATAAATACACAAAGGAAAAAGGCGAAATGGGAGAAATGTGAATAAATGGGAAAAAACTTATTCAACAGGAGCATGAAAACGAAATGAAAAATATATATTCCTTTATGCTGAGCAAGTGCCTCGAGCTGAAAGAAATCCCCGAAAGGGGTTTCAGTTGGCAAAATATAATAGCTTTAATTCTAGCATAAATAAAAAAAATATATTTAAATTCAACTGTAGAACTTTATTCATTTTACAATTTTAATACTTTCAAAATGAACATCGCCCTTTTTGTAAAAAATATCTTTTATTAAAAGAATTTCCTTTTTATATAAAAAATACAGTTTACCTTTGCAGAAATTCATTCATTACGATATTCCGAATTGTATATTCAATCTCCGCTTAATTGCAAACAAAATAAATTTAACTTTGTATATTTTTTGTGTTCCACACAACATTGAAATATTTGTTCTGCTCACGAAATCAGTGAACTTCTTATTGTGCAAAATCTCTTTTAATTAAATTTTAAATTTAAACAAATGGTTTCCCTTTACATATTCATACTGACGTTACCTTTTCCATTTAAACTACATAAAACAAAGTAGAACCAAACAAAGTCCGAATCACCAACAAAAACTATGTGAAACTTTTAAAAAAGTTTCTCACTTTTTTGTAGCGTTTTACGTAAATGTGATTTTTTATTGCCATTTAAATATTTAAAAAGCTTCAGCATTGTCCGAAAATATCAAATCTCGCCGGACGCTCCACCCTTTGCAGTAAACCCCCTAAATAATTCATTTCAGAGCAAGGACTAATTTCATATGCACGCGTGCGTTTAAAGTTGAATCTGAAATGGGAAACGGGCGGCAATTTTACTATTAATATTAATGCCTAGGAAATTGTCAGACAGTAAAAAAATTAACGAATATGTTGGCAGGTTAAATTCCACTTTAATAACTTGTAAGTAAAAATGTTTTTCTCATTTATTAATCAGCAATGGAATATGGATGTCGCATTGTTTGTCGGCTTAATGAACAAAATCAATTTAAATGGGAATAAATTATGAATGCAAATGCATTAAGCCGATAGTAATCAGGGCTGTAGTTTATTAATTACTTTTTTACCGCCATCCCCGAAAACTTTATATAATTGTGACCGATAAAAATGCCGTTTGTTTGTTTTATTAATTGCAGCCAAACGACCGCCGGTCGAGGAGACTGCATCCTTCCTCCAGAGCCTGATCGCCTCGCACGGACCCAATTACCTGGAGAAACTTTTCGGCAGCAAGGCACGTGATGCCCTTTCACCTCTGGGCGGTGTCGACAAGGTCGCCATCGCTTTGAGTGAGTCGCAAACGATTGAGGACTTTGGCGCTGCCCTTCATCTAATGAGGTGAGTACCCGTGCCATAAACTATCCACTTCTACTGCGTTTCAAAATTTTCGGTAGTTTATACACTGAGAAACATCAATAGCAGATAACTAAATAATAAAAATGTTGGAGATATGCTGATAAGACTAGTTTACAGCCACTAAATCAAAAAAAAAAGTAAACCAAATTTTTTAATAAATTTTTTTTAACGATTTTGAAAAGAATTTTTTCTTCTTGGTGTAGTTAAAACATAAAAAAATTTAAAAAAATATGGAGTAAACTAGTGTTATTTGTATATCTATGAAATTAACTAAACTTAATGTTATAAGTTATAACTTTTATATTTAACATTCAATGAAATTAAATAAACGTTATGTTATACGTTATAACTATTATATTTTACATTGAAAGTTAATTAAGAAGCTTCTAAATCACTTAGTAATTAAAAGATTACACATAGGTATTTATATTTTATACCTTTAGCATACCTTTTACCATAGAATGGGAAAAATAATATTCTCTTTTAGTACATACAAGGAAATAAAACTGTTTTAAGTACCTTGCTCTTTACTGGCCATAAAAACTAGTTTGGTTTTTTTTCTGACATTTCTTTAATAGCTTTTCTTTCAGTGAGTGGCTCTCGGGTGCAATTTGTGTGCTTGAGTTGGTTGTTTGGCTGCCACAGAACCCCAAAAGCGAAATTATTTCCCCTTTTTGTCAGCTGCTTTTCGAGCATGAAACATAATTTTAGCCCAGGTTCTAAGCTGGTCTGTGTTACATAAATAATGGAAGCTCTTTAAGAAACTTTGGCACAGCCCTGGGCTATTTTCACTTTGTGGGGAATCCTTTTATTCCGATGGAACTATACTTATAGTGAAAGTCCAGAGGCCAGCCTTTGTCCTTGTCCTTGTCCCATGAATTATTATCTTTGCATCTGGTTGTGAGCGTGGATTCGAGTCCCTTTTCTCTGTTTAGCTATTTTTGTGGCTGCTGGAATAATAAAATTTGCCGGCTTCAAGGCAAGCACACACACATACACAGCATGCACAAGAAGTGTCATGAAATTTTAAAATATGTTGTTCATGCTTATCATATTCCTGCTCTTCGTTGGTTTTATTTTATAAACAGATTCTTTATGGCTACAGTGTTTTTCATAATATTTGCTTGACTTGTCCTAAGCAAACAAAATATTTGTCTCTGCCTAATGAATTCATTTCTGAAATGGGGAAAAAAACAGAGAGAGGACTTTTGGGACATGAGTTTACTTTGATGATTTAATGGAAGGCAGAAAAGGGCATGAACATATTTCAATAAAGTTGTCATGTTAGAATTTAAATATGATACAAAACTAATATATTTTAAAAAATAATTAAGTGACACAGGCTTACAAAAAATATCTAAACATTTTTTAATAGAATTTGACTTTATTTCCAAGTTAGTAAACTTAAGTTTTAAAAGTCATGCTTTAACCCTGTCGACTACGCTTTGCTAGGCCCAAACATGTGTTTGCAGCTGCCTTAATTACATTATACTTCAGGCTCTCTCCTAGCAGCCTCATGCTACAATTTCCAAGATAAACAAAGCAAAAATTTAATTAACAAAAAAAACAACAAGCATGGCCAAATATAAACATCGAGCGAGTGAGTGAGAACAGAAAGGCACAGAACATGAAAGAAAAATTTTCATTAAATTAGTACAACAAAAACTAACCACAAAAATGGGACCCACAAGGTGAGTTGGAGTGGCAATAATAATAATCATAAAACTGTGGGCCATGCAGGCAACAGGATCTCAACAGGACCTGAGGGCCAGACAAAAGGACACGAAAATATTTGCCTTCACGCACATGTTGATAAATTAGCAAGACACAAAAAAGCTGGAGAATTAGGGGGGCCTTGGGGTTGGATGAAATATAAGAGGGCCTCGTTTGTCTGGCTACGCTCGAAATTTACACAATTTCATCAAGGCAATTAATCGCCCAAGTGTCATAATGTCACTCCACCCAGCTCAAGTCTCTATCCGAGAAATGGGGAAAGAGGGGACGAAGGGCGGGATGGATTTGAATGAATGTACTCGAACCACAAGACACGCACAAATGTTATTAATGTGTATTTTGCACTCTTGCTTACCCATCTCAGCTGCACAGAGAGAAAAATCTTAGAAATTACTGTACTTGTTTATGGGTTTTTAATGTTTAAAATCATTTATTAGGTTGTCTCAACTTATGAGCTTAAAAAACGCTGCATTTTTCATTAAATTCTGACTTAATATTTATTGTTGCATACTTTTAGGCAACTTAATAAGTGATTTCAAAACTCCAGTTATTACAGTTTTTTTTACCAGCTTTCAGTTTCTGTGTACCGACTTTAGGTTTTTCCACTCACATTTCTAATTATGCTGATGATAATGAAGTTTATCTAGCAGCCGCAACAAGCAGCAAAATATGTGGGTATAGAAAAGAGCAAAGTCGGGGCGGTTGGGGTCAAAGGACACCCCAGGATACCAACCACGAAAACAATAACAGAACCAACAATAGCAGGGGCAGCAACAGCCGCACGTTACCTGCAGGGATTAATTAAGCAAAGCGAATAATTTGAGACCCACCGCAGCAAAGCTAAAACTTGTCCCTGTATGTGTTTATGTGGGTTGTGTATGTTGGTGTCTGGTTTAGTGCGTTTGTGGGGGTTTTTCTCATTATTTAAGTTCACTGTGGGCTAAAAGTTAGAAAAATAGAGAAAAGGTTAAATTGTATTTAAGCGTTATTAATGGCAAGAAATTCTAATAAATGTTATGATTTTACAACATTTTTGTAGCAGTAACCTTCAGTGATAATTAAAATTTTTAAATTAAAATACAGTATACCTAAAATATTTTAATAATTAAACTATTTTATATTGACATAGGAAAAACTAATGTATAATACCAAGGTAGCGATATTTTTCTTTCCAACCCCAAGAGCCATCGCGAACTAAATAGCATTTAGAGACTGCAGATGGCTGCTTTCTCCCTTGCACAAGACCCTCCATTGCCGTGGCTTAAGTCGTTTGCCAGGCAAACTTAATTTAAGTTTTGCCATTAATCACAAGCAAGCTGAAAATTAACCCCACTAATTCTGTTTGGTTTTGCATCTTATATTTTCAGATCGGACTTGGAACACTTGCGCTCGGTTTTCATGGCGGTGGAGAACGGGGATCTCGGCATGCTAAAGTCGCTGGGCATCAAGGACTCGGAGCTCGGTGATGTGAAGTTCTTCTTGGAGAAGCTGGTCAACACCGGCTTCCTCGACTGAGTAGCGCCAGATCCGGCTTCTGGATTTTATTACGCACACGCACAGCCCATCAATCCTAATTTCTATTCGTATTTGGGGACGCCCTACGATAATTACAATTATTAAGTGCGAATTACTCCGATACACACGTACCTACACTCATCGTCCGACTACAAGAAAACACCCACCCAGCCCACTCCATTTCAGCCAAAAGATATTTTCTCAAACTCTATTTTTGAGTATAATTTTGCTTTCCAAAAAACCTTTTTAATCAATTTTTAAGTTTATTTATTTTCATTTTCCAAACACTTTTATAGAAAAACAAAAATCAAGCAAACCAAAAACTAAAAAAAATTGCAAAAGTCCACGAAAAAGCTACAAAAAAATAAAGGCGCGAAGAGAAAATACAAATATATATGCAAGAACAACAAAAATTTCGATCACAAATCGGCTTCTATATACCGAAAATCAAATCTCAAGCTTTCTCCCAACTTTCTGCGCTCTTTCCTAGACTTTCTTTATGTGTTGCGTTTCTATCGCGATCTATATTTATTTTGAGAAAATCTATGCGCAAACTTCAGAACATTGCAGAAAAAACTTCATAAGTAGTAGAAAAATAAAATGTGGAAGCAGGATCGTTTGGCAAAAAGTAAAAAAGAGAAAAGAAAAAACAAAAACTACAAATTAAAAAAGAAAATATCAATGTTTATATAACGAACTTTTTCTGAAACATATAAATGTATACATTTATTGAACTTTTTTATTGATGTAAAGTGTTTCAAGGCTTCTTAGATCCGTCACTTAAGGTATTCACACTAAAGTCCCTAAAGAACAATGAATGCAAAACAGCAACCGAGGCTATCAGTAAAGAACCTTCCAACCACTTTCTTACGTACTTACCCAGTACACTTATCTTCTTTCGATAACCGTCTATTAATTATATACTATAAAATACGGAATACTGGTTTAGTTCTAGTCATTAAATGTAGCGAAAGCCCTGCAGCTATTGTTGTTTCCAGTAGAAGAAAATCTTCAATGTTTCAGATATTACAAGTAAATCAATTAATAAGCTAAACACACGTTATCATAGGAACTAAAATGTCGAGCTACTGTGCAGAAGTAAATTAATTGGTTTTGAGTTGCATAATTCACGGAACGTTTTGGGTGTCTAAAGAAAATATCAATGAGATATCTCAAGTTATATATTCAAAACAAGTAATTATAAAGCCTAACCTTAATTTGGAAATAATACACACAACTTTACTCAATTCTTAACATATATAAATTTCTTAGAAGAAAAAAAAACACACAAAAGCAAATTGTAACCAAAATGAGATTCTCACTTTTTGAGGGCCAGTTTCAATTTGCCAAAGAACAAAAACTGACCCAAACAATTTGGAATATTATCTAAGCAGAACCAGAAACTGGCCCCCAAAAAACCTAAACACCTTACTAACTAGTCTAAGAATTCTCTAATTCAAACATTCTTTAAACGGAGCACGGAATTGTTGACCAGATAGCGTAACAAGTAACTAAAACGAATAGAAATCGGAGGAGAAATGGAGAACCCAACGTTAAAAGAAATTTCTTTAGATTAAACCGAAAAAATAATGGAGTTATAAGTACCTTGAATTAGCTGATAGATCATACTAAAACTACAGCAAAAGTAAACTAAATTATTTATTTAAATAAAACGAAACCAAATCATTTTAATTAATATAGTCGTCTATTTAAAAAATATATATTTATGAATAGATATTTATTCGAAAGAAACTTAAACAAGTCAAGAGTAATATTAAAAGAATGATAATGAACAGAAACTGATCCATTGAACTATATATATATATATACATATGTATATGATAAACAAAAGGAAGTGAGGAAATGCCCCATGTAAATAAAGGAGACAAACTACGTATTCCATAATCGATGCAAATGAAATGGAAAAACCATCCAAGAAAAAAAAAAACAACAAAGTGATAATTTGTTTTTTGGGTTCCATCAAAACATATTCGCCTGTAAATTTTAAATAATTTAAATATCTGCAAAAAAATTAAAAATCAAAAAAAAAAAACGTTTTTTTCTCTGTGAATATTTTTTAAAAATTGAATATACAAATGCTATATACAAAACATAGACATTTCTTAATTATAAGCCACTGAACTTATATCGCATACATATCAGCAGATCTCTTACAAAAGAAGAAACAAAACTGCAAAAGTTACAAACACACAAGAATCTATGAAACACAAAATATATGCAACATATCAATTAACAAAGACATATCAAATATGAAGACGAAAAAAAGTTGAAATAACGTTAAGAAAATTATATATAAATATAAATGGGTAAACACACCAAAGTTAATTTTATAAATGATATTTATTTATTTTAATTTAAAATATTATCTTCTATTGGATCTTATTTACATTAATTGTTACTTGTTTCAGGGTTTTAATACCAAAACTGACCCATTGAACTCTTAAAACGCTGAAACAATTCAACAATATACAACAAAAACGAGTTATACAAAAAAAAAACAAGAAACAAGCTTCATTGCATTTAATTTGAGAATATTTAAGTAAAGATCATTTTTTAATTGGAATTTGATTTGCCAGAAGTTTTACGAACTAACAAAACCACCAATAAACAAAATACACAAGAAATAGTTGAAATATATTTAAATGAAACGAGTAAACGAAACATATCAGTTACTGAAAAATCGTAGCGAACAAAATACTCCAGCAACAAGAGACAAATTGCTCTTCAAAAATCAAACAAAAAAATGCTATATAAAACTATTTGCAATACGAAAAACATTTAAAGTTTGAATTAAATATAAACGAAAGAATTCGAGTTTTATGATGAAAAACACACTACAAGCAAAACGAATCTATGTGTAATTGCATTACAATTAGAATTGCAGAAAAACCATACAGCAAGAGACGAAAAGAAATTTAAATAAAATTTTTAACATTCCAATGATGCTATTTCTTTGGTGTGCTGTTTTAAAAACGAAATATCATGTGTGTTTTATTTAATGGAAAAATGATTTTCATTGATATACATCTTTAATTTACATTTCCCTTTATTAATCAAAAGTTACATCTATTACCAATTAATTTTTCAAGATTCGTATCGCTCAATTTATTAACGACCTAATCAAACTATTTTGAGGAATGGGCATTTTTCGAATTTCTTTCTTTGATAGTTCTCTGCCAACTCTATACCTTAACAATTTTAATGTACGGCTATCACTCTAATGCATTAATTAATTGAAGGAATTTCAGGCGGTCGACAGTCGTAAGCTATCTCAGTCCAAGTTATACACGGGCGATAAGATATTTGCTCTGTCTCACTTGCACTCGCTGCCGTCAAGAACTTCCCCATAATTACTTTCGCTGGGGGAGAGTGAGAGCGGAGATAGCACGCGCTCTCAGTGCAAATAAAAGCGTATGTTTTTATACCTGGTATTCTTAGAAAAGTAATGGGAGTAACAGGCCAAAGGAATCATTTGGTCGTTATTAAGTGGAATTCTAACGTACCTTATCTGAAAAAAATGTACTCAAGTCCTATAGAACGTTATAATTCCCAAAATGTTCTAGCATTAAAAAGTCTTTTTTGAAAGGAAAGCTGTATTTAATAATGATAATATTAAATATTTTTTCTAATTAATGACTAGTAATCAAAATCAAAATTTAAATAGTAAGAGGTATCCTTTATTCCACAGGCTCCATCAAAGAGCTCCTACTTGTTATACTACTTGATATTCTAATCAGCCAGTAGATTTGTTTTGTTGTTTTTGATAGCCTTCGTAGTATTTGCTCTTGATTAGCTGAGAACGCAGAACAGCGGCGAAAACCCTCGGCTCGCCTTAGTCGTGTTTAAATTGGAAGCGCATACGGTTGTCGGTGCTCTCGGTTCTCGATCCTCCATTATCGGTGGCTCTGGGGTGCCATAAAATCCCCTCAAGTGTTTCCGGGTCTTTTCTTTGAACTGCAATTACTGCAGCAGCAACCGTGCCTTTCTTAAAAGTATATTTCCCCAGCTAAGTCACCTGTGTAATATACCTGTGAATATTCCCTGCTGCCCGAGAGTATACAACAGTGTTGAGTGTCTATCAGTGATTTGATTTAATCAGCCAAATAAAAACCAATATAATGCATGATCCCAGCGATTACGACTCTGTTTATAGCGAGGAGGATTTTCTGGACACCGTCCGAGGAGCCGAAACGCCCCCGCTAATGGACTACGAAGAATTCCGCGTGAAGACTATGGGTGAGTCTGCTTGCCGTCTTGGCCATGGCCAAAATATTTCTCCCTTATCTAGTGTTTGTTGTAGGCTTTAAAAAGCGAAACTTTTTTTTTGATAGGAGACCCAAGATAAAACGTCACTGCGGGCAAAACTTTGGTATACAGAAAAGAAGAAAAGTTTGGAAATAATAAAAGGTGCGGAAATTTTAGTGGGTTGAAATTAGGAAACAGCTTTGATGCTATAAAATTTTTAAAATCTTTCTGCCAAGCCCTTAAAAAATTTTATTATATTAACTCTCTGAGCCGTTTATACATTCTTTTAGTTATATATTTTTTAAAACCTATAAGTTTGATTTTTGAAGAGACCAAAATATTTTTCCGCCACTCCTACTTCTTGCCAGCCTGAGCCTTCTTCTTCTCATCTGGCTTGGGCACCAGCTTCAGGCGGATCATCTCCTCGAGAAGTGTGGTCCCCAGATGACAGGGATTGGGGGTCATGCGGCAGCCGGCTTTCTCCAGGGCGGCGACCTTGTCCTTGGCCGCCCCCTTGCCACCCGCAATAATGGCGCCAGCGTGACCCATACGACGGCCGGGCGGAGCAGTCTGACCGGCGATGAAGCCAACCACCGGCTTGGCCTCGCATCCCGTATTGTGCTCCTTTAGATATTCGGCGGCCTCCTCCTCCGCCGATCCACCGATCTCACCGATCATTATAATCCCCTTGATCTCCTTGTCGGGCAGAAAGACCTTGAGGGCATCGATAAAGCTCGTGCCGTTAAAGGGATCTCCGCCCAGGCCAATGCAAAGGGCCTGACCCAAACCCACATTGGTGGTCTGGTGAACCGATTCGTAGGTCAAGGTTCCCGATCTGGAGACTATGCCCACCACTCCGCGCTTGTGAATGTGACCCGGCATTATGCCGATCTTGCACTGATCCGGCGAGATGATTCCCGGGCAGTTGGGTCCCAGCAGGCGGGATTTCTCCTGGCACTTGAGCATCTGCGAGATCCTCACCATATCCGCCTGGGGAATTCCCTCGGTGATGCACACAATCAGACCAATTTCACTCTCGATGGCCGAGCAAATTCCCTCGGCGGCCGATGGCGGCGGTATAAAGATCACCGTGGCATCTGGTTTTACTTTCTCAACTGCCTCGGCCACGGACTTAAAAACGGGTTTCTTCAGATGCTCCGTACCGCCCTTTTTGGGATTCACACCACCCACAATATTGGTGCCATACTTGATGGACTCCTCGGAGTGAAAAGTGGCCTGTTTGCCAGTGAATCCTTGCACTAGAACCTTGGTTTCCTTGTTGATCCTCAGATTGCAAATCGTTTTGCTGTAGTCAGCCTTGCCGCGTCGCAAAATCTGGGGCGGAATCGCTCGCAGGAACTCCTTGCATCCGAGATTCATGGACATTTTAATTGTCTCAGGATATAAACCTTTTTTTCGTGCCGGAAAATGAATTTTTTGGGCTTGATTTCGAGAAGAGCTCTTACCGAAAGTGTTTTCTGAATGGTAGGTTTTTCGACAAAGAAGGTTATAACAACGTCTGCTTGGTTTCCTACTACATTTTCAGGGTTGTTTCGAAATTTACAACATTTTTTATATGCATTTTAACTAATTATAATTATTTCATTATTTATAATTATTAATTGTTTCTGACATTATAATGTCTACATTCTAAATAAATTTTGATATCATTTAAAAAATCCCTACTTTTTAAAATTTCTTAAATTTCTTAACATTTTGAAAAAACGTATAGGTGTTAATTTGTTTTGATTAAACCTGTCTGATGAATAATTATTCTTTATATCTAAACATAATTTATTTTTTAAAATCAAGATTGCAAATATCTACCAACCCCTTTTTATTTGTTATTTCAACTTTAGTTTCTCAAGAACATTACAATTTTTAAGTTTTGACAATAGTTTGTAATATTTTTACTAAAACAGGATTTAACAAAAAGAGTATATTTATATTTTACTTTTAAAATCTAGGTCTTATTCTTGCAAATGATCTTGTGCTCAGCCCTTCAATAAATTCCGATTCGATTCCAATTGAATTCCAATAGGGGCTCATCCACTCTCTCTCTCTCTCTCTCTCTCTGAGCGCTGAAACGACTGGAATAAAACGTTTTGAGGCGCGCTTTGGCGCTCTCTCTCCAGTTGCACTATGGGGCATTTGACCTGTTTTTTTGGCATAAATGTGTTTTTTACAAGTATTAAAATTTTTGAAACATTATTGGAAACGTATTAAGAATAGATCAAAATGAAATGTTACATACCGCAAATGTTAAGTTAACAGTCCAATGTTAAAATAACAGCTGTTAAAGTCAGGCGCAGCAAGCGAACACAACGTGTTCAAACTTTGCTTGATTTTGCAGGGCATATATAAATTAATATCTCTTCAACGACAAGACGTAGAACCATAAAATTTGAAATGGATATTCATTAAAACTGTCTTTACTTCATGTTAATAATACTGTGATGCTTATTTCGTGAGTGTATTTGTAGCAATGGCTTCATATACCAAGTAGTCTCTCTTAAAGGTTTGGAAAAAGAAAGTTTAACTTTGAATAGAGATTAGAAGAAATGTTGAAATTTGTTGAGCCTGTGGGTTGAATCATTTTAAAGCGGGGTCAATTCTCGATTCGGGACATCCAGTCTTAATGTGTACTTTTTGCGACTTTAAGAGAAATTCAGTTTTTACGGCACTGCCAAAAATGGTCAAATTAACACTTTATTTGTCTTCTTCTTGTTTTGTAAGATGAAATGTTAAATAAATTTAATGCAAAAGTATTCGCCATACCATTATATTTGATTTGAAAACATTCCGCTTCTTATTTTCATGGAAAATATTTTTTTATACGGCATATCCAGTATTTGGCATACAAAAATGTTGGATTTTACAGGAAAAAGGGAATATCTCTTCAAAGAAGAAAATTTTCAAAAAAAGGTTTTTTTGTTTTTTTTTTAATATATTTCTTCATTATTAGAAACCATAAAAGAAAAATTTTTTTTGTAGGTTTAGGAAAAAAAAATTTTTTTTGAATAAATTTATTATAGTGTTTAATTTTTGCTCAAAAAGATGTATTTAATTATTATAAACATATTTCTAAAAACCAAACTCAAAAAAGTTGCTTTGTTTTGGAATTATTAATTAAGGCCAAAAAAACAGGTCAAATGCCCCATAGTGAGTTCCAATAAGATCATCGTTCGAAGAGAGCGACTGAGTGTCTATATGTTTTCCCGATCGCGTTTCAGATCGCTTTTGGACCTCGGAGTGGAAAGACTTAAAACGCGCCGGAAAAACGACATGTAGTTTATAGTTTTTTATGCGCGCCCGTCGTTTTAAGCCGAGAAGAAGAGGAGTAGCAAAAGTAATCCCAAATTGGCTGCCAAAAGTGCGGGTTCTGAAAGATTAATAGCCAGAAAAGGCAGTTAATTGAAGAGTGCAAAGAAAGTGGCCAGCAAAAAGTGAGCAGATAATAAAAAATAGCAAAAAAGCTGACACAAGTTCAAGGTGTAGAATTTGTGCGTGTGTGTGTGTGAGTGAGCCACAAGTTGTTTAAACAAAAGTGCAGAAATAATAGCAAGATCGAAGGAATTTAAACAGCAAGTGCAGGAATTTGCATTCGGTGTGCCAAATTTAAGGTTTTACCTTGGTTTTTAATGAGTTTTTGGCTGCTTTTAACTCTTTTTTTTCCAGCAAACACACACATACACACATTCTTGATTCTTTGACTCACAAATTACCCACAATAGCAACAACAAAAGTGTTGTCTGTTCCACTTTCCCACACGTTCCATTTCTGGTTTTCGCTTTTTATGCCGCCTGTTCCGGCCATTTCCAACGTTCCCCTTTAACCGGTGTTTGTTTTTTAAAGAGAGAGCAAGAGAGAGAGAGAGGGAGCACCTGTGTGATTTGTGGTATCTCACAAGAAATTGATAAAGAAAGGGCAAAAAATAAATAAAACAATCAAATAGGTAAACAACGCAGCTTGTTAAAATTACAAATGGCAGGCAAACAAACAAGAAAACTCATTAAAAGCAGTGGAAAATCCTAACGGTAGTTCCCGCTCTCCTCCCTCTCTCTGTTTCCTCCACGCTTTCTTTTGTTTATTTTCGCCTTTGCGCATGCGCAAAAGTTTATTATTTTTCGTTTGTTTGCTTGTTGGTGGGAAAATCAACACAATGTCTTATAAGAAAGCAAACAAAACAGGTGTCAACTTAAATTTTCGGCATTTTGCAATTCGTATTTAATTTTCTAGAATTTCTTGGCGCACCTTCGACTTTTAGCAATTAAAGCGAAATATTACGAAACGAAACGGTAAACAAAACAAAAAGGTGCGAAAGTGGTAAAAAACGGAATGTGGCGATATCAGTTGCCATTCCACGAATCAAATCAATCAAACCGAAACAAACAACCCGAATTGTGCTCCATGTGATTCAACGAGATTTTATAAATCAATTCGTGACGACCTTGAAAAGCATAGGTTTTATGTTTTAACTTTTATCGAAATCGAACCGATTCGCTACTGGGATTAGGCGAACTAAGGATTATTACTACGAATATGGAACCCGGAATTTTAATTGGTAAGATTGACATTATATTTTAGGATTTAGGTAAAAAGAAAAATATTTTCTGATTTCACGAGCTAAGAAAATAGTATTTTTAATATATTTATACTTTAAACATTTGAAGACTTGGAATTTCAAAATTCTTGGGGTTTTTCTGAGTTTGAAATGTTTGGAATTAAAAAGTTAATATAATTTTCATTTTTATATAAGAAATTTTGTTTTGGTTTTGCTTTCCTAATTCGTTGAAAAAGTTTAAAAGAGCGCTATGAAATGCAATCTAGATAATAATTTGAAACAACAGCATTCCCGCCATGATTGCAAGCCCAATTTTCCAGCTTAAAAGTGAAAACGAAACGCTGTTTGAAAATTATTCTGTATTCATTAATTCCCACACATGTTCAGAGATAATTACAAAAAACTTCAAAGATGATACCACAACACCCCCTTCTCGAAAATTAACCCCATTGAGGGGAGAGTCATCATTTCGAGAGCTCAGAACTCGTGCCCCCATTTCACATTTCTGAGATAATTTCCATGCTTTCTTCAGCTGCAAGACCGACTTAAAAAGAACGGAGACAAACCGACCACATGTTGCCCGTAGTCACACAAATATCTGTACTCACTGAGAAAATTACATTTTGCTTTACAAAATCTATAATTTACATTATTTTAAGAATTTGGATATCAGAGTAAAATAAACTACAGTAAGAAAAGTTAGAAAAATGTAAAAGTTTGCTTAGAAAACTTTGATTTGAAACTTAAGATATGTAAAATTATTAAGACAACACTTAACTTTTAAGAAATTGGGTTCCAAATAAACCAAACCGATGGAACTTTTAGATTAAAAAACATTTTTGTATTTATTACTATCAAATGCCAATATATATTTCGTCTCAAGAACAAAGTAAACCAAAACTAATCTAAATAATTCCATTTCCTCCCAGTGTAGACAAGCAACAAAGTGATGGCACACACCCATTCAGAACCACAGATATATCGCTTTAACTCATTTGGTTAAGCATTTAATGATCAGGCAAATGAAAAGTCGGTTGAGTTCTGAGGGGGCTAGTGAAAAAAGTCGGTGGTGGGTGGATGGGGGGCCCAGAGAGGGTGTGGTTTGGTTCACAGACGGCGGTTGCCAACGCTCCACTGCCGAATGCTCTGCGTAACCCGCGCTCAGCTAATGAGAATCCTACCGCCAGGGAAGGGGGTGGAAAATCGGCGGCAAAGGGGCTTTTCCTCGTGTGTAATTGAGACTCGATTTAGATACGAACCGCACCAATTTGTGCGAGAAGTCTAATGTGTGTGGGTTTTTATAATCGTCAACAGCGAAAAATGTAAGGGTATATTGTATTTCCAAGCAAATAATGCAGCAAGATAATAAAATCTTGATCTGAAATATCTAATTAATTCGGGAAAATTTTCATTTAAAAATCTGGAATTTTATTTATTATTTTTTAAGAGCAAATAAATAAGAAATATTAGCATATACTTTAATCTAAATAACATTTTAAAGCTACCAAATTTTATTTCTAAAGTAAAAAAATAAATAATATTTAAAATAAAGTGTATCTGTTAATGTTTTCTGAAGAACGAATGAAAATATTTAAAATATTTAAAACCTCGTTAAGATTTAATTTATCAAATTAAAATTTGACTGAGATGACATTTACATATATCCAATAAATAAAATAAAAATAGAGTAATTTGCACGACCTAATAACAAAAGTATTCACTTGTTGTTGTAATCCAATTTCGAATTTGGATGGCATTAGGCATATCCATGTCTGTCGCTGGTTTGTCTGCGACTTAAAACCGGCAAAGCCGCCAGATCGAA